TTATTAGTAGTTAAAAAACAATAAATACGTATTATAGGTTATGTCTCTTTCAGTAATGTCATTTGTCCACTATTTCGTAATAAATGATTTTATTTATATTAAAATTTTCTACTCCACCTTTTATTAATTGTTTAAAGGTAAAAGTTTATATAAAGCCGAGGCTCTAAACAATGAAATTAGAGCCGACCACATAAATTCACTAGAAGAGGTTGTTTTGATGCCCAAATGTATTCAAATTGATCATCTCCATGTTAAGATGTATGCACATGAGAAAAAAGTGGATTTCAAAGTTTTGGAAATAGTGTATTTTGTAACACATTTTTTGACCGTCAACTTGCAAGATTTTCAAGTTTTTATAGATATGTTGATCTACACTATTTTTTAAGCTTTGAACTTTATAAATAAAAATAAATTTTTTTTTTAAGCCTATCAAAAAAAATTTCAAGATTAAAAACACATTTCTCAATACTATTTGAAGATACGCTCTATTTTGATGTTTAGAGCCTAGGCTCTATATAAACGGCACCCTTACTTAAAATGCCTTCAGACAAAAAGTCTAGTGTCAAAAAGTATTGAAGACTTAAAAGGTATACAATATACCATCAATAGCCTAACAAAACTCTTATTAAAAATAAATTTAAAGGCAAAAAGTTTTATGTTCCCCTCGGTGCATGCTCCGTCAAATTAAAACACTATCAAGAGTATTTTTAATATCCTATTTATTGGGGATATTATCTCGTAAACCAAAAACAACTAACTCGCAAAAACAAAACAAACAAAAAAATTGTATACTTTTTCCAAAATTTGAGGAGTGCATGTATATGCACCCATGGGATCATACACTGCATACTCACTCCCTCGGCAAGAGGACTAATTTGAAAAGATTTTTTTTGATCATAAAAGATTGGGGATCACCTAAAAATCTCTAGATGATTATATTCAAATGAAAACAAATAAATTTTTTAGTTTACCACACCTTCCAAATTTGGACGGTTTCTATTCAATTATCAAGTATTGAGATTTTATTTATTGAGCATAGCATTGGGTTGAAAATACTACCTCTTCAAAATTTAGGGGCTGTAAAAAGGGAAAAGTTTATATAGAACCGAGGCTCTAAACCATCAAATTAGAGCTTATATCAAAAATTTCACTAGGAGATGCTGTTTTGCTGCCCAAATATCTTTAAATTGATCATCTCATCATCAAGATGCATGAACATGAGAAAAAATTGGATTTTAAGTTTTGAAAATAGTGTATTTTGTAAATCATTTTTTGACCGTAAATTTTCAAGACTTCCAAGTTTTCATAGATCTCTTGATCTACACTGTTTTTGAAGCTTTAAACTTATAGATAAAGATTGAAATATATTTTAAGGCTATCACAGAGATTTCCAATGTTGAAACACTATTTCTCTACACTATTTGATTTGTCACTTTCTAATGCTCAACACTATTTGAGTAGTGGACAATATGCTCCCTTGAGAGCATAAAATCTTTTTGTAAAGATCGAGGAACTATTCAAAATATTGAAGTTTCCAATATTTTGAGAACAAATATCTCAGTGAAGGGCACTATGGTCATTTCTTCAGCCAAGGGAAAACGGGACAAAAATGGCTAAATTACCCATTGGCATGTAAAATCCATTTCCAAACTTGAAAAAGTCAGCGGCCACAATGCTAATTAAAGGGTAGTTCTCTCACTTTACCCAATGAAGGTTGGTTGTGTGGTTTCTTGCCATACTTATGAAAATAAGAGAAATTTGCCAAAACTGATTTCTATATTCCTAATATTATCAAGAGGCTTAATGGTGGTCTAATTAGGATAAGGACTTTAAACTTTATGTTAAGTTGATAGGGATATTGAGGTTGCTAGTGTTTTTGGGTCCGTAGGTGCTAATAGTTGTTTGTGTTCTGTTAGTCTCGGTAGGTCGTAATTGGAGTAGAGAGCTTAGTCTCTGTATTTGTTCATCTCTTCTTTTCATTGTAATTTTGAGCTTTGTTTTGTATATTAATAAAAGTCAATGTATAAAACTCTTGCTGCATCGTGAATTCTGACATATCAAGATTCGTATAGCTGATCATAAATAATTGAGATAAATTTCGAATGATGATGATCAAGAGTCCTAATATTATCACTAGAGAAACTGTATCCAACATAATTTAGTGACAATTATATTTGATAGATCAATTAAGTGCTAATGCTTTTGGTATTGTCTTTGTACATTCATATGTAAATCTGAAGGCAAAGCAAGCTATTTGCATATGAAAAATATTGTGAAACTTTTCTGGTTATAGTTCTAAAAATATTAGTAATCACAAATAGGGAGTAATTTGCATGAAAGTGATGGTAGATATATAATATATTGATGTTTTATATTATGTTTGATTTGGTTTGAGCATATATTTATGAAGGCACTGATGATGATAATTTATTGATCATAGTATAAATTTATTCCACAACAACAAACATGGTAGATTATATTAACGACCTGATAATTAACGGATAATTTGGTGATAAAAGCAACAAACACAATAATGTCCCTAAAAATATATATGAATAATGCAATTATCACATATAATGGAAGAGAAAGAATGGAATTTTATCTAGTTATTAAAAATTCAAATACTCAAGCCCGAACTCCCCTAGTGACTCTAGCCTGGGAGGGTGCCAGGTCTAGATGATTAACTTTAAAAACAAGGCGAGTCTGACTAAAGCGAAACTCAAGTCAAATGCTCAGACTCGACCGAATTGAACTCCATCTCGGGCTTTAGACTTGGTGAGTCCAGGCCAAGTCCAAACTTTCAAACACTAAATTCAACACTACCTATTTCAAAATCAAATTGTCCTATTAGGTAAACCATCCACCAGACTGATATGGATTTTGGACACATTGGTTTAGCAATCCGATAAATCAGTTTCGCGGTTCAACCAAATATCCCCAAAAAAAAAAAAAAAAACAAAAAAAAAAAAAAAAAAAAAAAAAAAAAAAAAAAAGATCCGATTCTTAATTCTAAAGCTGAAGGTTTGACACCCACGAAGCTGGGCAGTTATTAAAACCCTAATCCAACAATTTGATTTATGACCGAGCTGACCATAAAAAAGTGGGCTTGAGCCAAGCCGAGCCATGAGCTTGTCTCATGAAAAGGAAAAGGTTGGTTTCAGGGTCTTAGGGTTTATAAGCCTGAAAAGGAGGGAAAAGCTGTTGGTGCAATAATTTACCCTCTTTCACTACAAGATTAATAAATAATGGTTTTTTACCGTATTTTAAGCCTCGTGGGCCTAAAAATAACTAGAGTATTTACGCGCCGGTTTGACCGTGCTTTTTTAAGATACCGTTGAATATCCAACAAAAGACTAAATTGCCCTTTTCACCAGTCCAAGGGATATTCCCTCAATAACATGTGCAAGAGTATTTTAGCATTTTTCAGATTATAGGTATGGTTTTGGCATCTTGCAATAGTGGACAGGTTTTATGATTTTTTTTGTTTAGGAAAATTGTCTCATGCAGGCTGGACCGCATGAATACATATGTGGTTTAAAAAGCGTAAAGCATCCATTTTAAAGATGGATATAAGTGGTGTTTTTTCTAAAAACAATAAAAACTAACTGTCTAATTATTTTATTACTAAAATTATTATTTTAATTTTAAAATTTATTCATTTTTTTATATTCATAATCTCCATATTAACGATTACATATCTTTAAAAATTAAGTCAAAAAATCCATCTTAAAAATAAATTTATTAATAGTTTAAATTGACTTGTCTAAACAACCAATTTTGCCTGTTTTCAAACAAACTATGTTTTTATTTTGGATCAGATGAGACAAGATGTCAGTCAGTGGTTTAACCAATTTGACCATTTTGTTTTGGTCCAATCTTAATAACTATGGATCATAGTTGCATTATTTGGAAATTCAAATCAAGAATTACAAAGTTCTTTTTTTTTTTATCCTAGAAAAAATTAAATTATTGATGCAAGCAAAAGGCTTAAGATAATTATTATTTAAAGCTTTTTTTTCTTTTAAGATTCATAATTTTAGTCTTCTAGAAGACTGATCTACAAAAATTGGGATCCAAAATCACATTCATAGTATTGGCTGTCTAGGTGGTACACCTACAATTTTTTGGATCCATACTACAAATTATTGCAGTCTCTTTGGGAAAAATATAAACTTTATCCTAAATACAAATAATTAGATGGCTTTTTGGGTAAATAAAGAATTCCATAGTACACAATTACTCAACCTAAACAAATATTTACTTTATACTACTGAAGCAAGGTGTGCCAAAAATCTATGCCAAAAATGCAGTTTTGGTGCCACAAAGGCTTGCGAAAATATGAAAATCTATTGTTTCCCCAATTATGAAATTTAAAGTTATTGAAATGGTGAAGATCATCTTGATAATGGACGGTCCAGATAATGTGTTAGAAGATGAATTATTTTTAAGACTAGAAATCTCTTTTATTTATCATGTCAATAAATTTGGAGGTCGAGATGATCGACACGAGGGGTTTCCAGCTTTGGAGCAACCTTCACTAGTGGGTTTTTTAGGTGCGCCATACCCCATACAGTATAAGGTTGAGACCTTACATAAGCTTTTTTTTCTTTGGGTTTTGCTCATGTATTGAGGATATTTTCACTTCCCAAGGGGGGGCATTTTCGTCATTCAAGTATTTGTAGATAGACTAGGTTTTCCAATTCCATGTATAGGGTCAGTAGAGATATATTCTGAGAAGCTAAAGGCCCTTTTTGGTAACAAATTTTAATAGGGTTTGAAGGGAGCAGGGGAGACAGATGTGGAGAGCAGCCGCAGCAGAAGACACTGATAAAGACAACGAACCTGAACAATTTTTATTTCCCAAAAAGCCCTAAGAAATAATATAATTTCATAAAATACAGATTTTTTTTCCCTACAAAATTTAAAATATGCAACAAAATAAAAAACACCAGTTTTTTTTCCCCAGAAAAAATGAATTTTTTATTTTCATTCAAAACCATGCCACCCCAATATAACAAAATGAAGACCCCATTACCACACTTCAATTCCCCCAAAACACACACACACCCACACTCTCTTTCTCTCTAAAATCTCTTTCTCACTCTACTTTTCTCTTTCTCCTTCTCTGCTTTTTCTCTCTTGGCAAGCATGCCTGACCACGCTCAGTATCCGCCATGGCTTGATACCCTCCTCTCTGAGAAGTTCTTCTCTCCATGCCTTCTCCATGAATCATCGAAGAAGAATGAGAAGAACATTTTTTGTTTAGATTGCTGCACTAGTATCTGTCCTCACTGCTTGCATTACCACCGTTCCCATCGCCTCCTTCAGGTATATAAATTATCAGAATCTCATTATTTTCTCTGTAAATTGAAGACTTTTCAGTTCAATGCACAAAACCCATAATTTGGTTTTCATGAAAAGTGGTTTGTTAGCTTCAGAAATTCATTTTTTTCAGTTACTTGAAAGCTTTTTTATTCAAGGAACAATACCCATGTTTCAATTTATGTGAAGAAGTGGTTTATAATTCTTAAAAACTCGTTCCATTTTCAGTAAATTGGAAGATTTTTAATTTAAGGAACAAAACCAATTACTTGGGTTTAATTCGTTGGGTTTTTTTTTTTTGATAAAGTAGTTTATAATTCTTGGAAGTTGTTTATAATTGCTGGAAGTGTCTGTTTCAGTAATTTAAGTGATTTTTGATGCAGGGGGAGAAACCGATATTTTGATTTATTATCTAAATGAAAGGCTATAGTAATACAAATTGTACTCCTGTTAATGAATAATTCAAAAGAATCATTTTTTTCTCAAAATAATTATTACCTCTCCAACCATTTTGGCCTTTTTATGCCACTTGTAAAAAAGCTTTTGAAAGGTGAGAATTTGCAGAGTATCCTATGCTGGAAAATTGCAAAAAATAAAAATTTGTTGTTTTTGTATGAAACATTTTTCTCGTGGTGCACAATGAGCCAGTTGAGAAAGAAGCAATATATCATGCACTCCATTTTCAATTTGTCAGTTAATTATTTGTTAAAGTGAGAACAATTTTTTTTTCTTTTTTAATTAGGTAGCTGAGGTTTTTATCTGTTTTTCTTTAATCCTCAGGTTCGAAGGTATGTTTATCATGATGTAATCAGACTTGATGATCTTGAGAAATTGATTGACTGCGGATTTGTTCAGGTAATTATTTTTCTTTCGATGCATTTTTAGTGAATTATACTTCTTTTTTTTCTTGGACAAGTTTCGGTGAATTCTAAATTTTGTTGAATAAATTATTTAGGAACTATATTATTCAGGATGAGATTATTGAAATTCTTATAGAAATTCTGTTAATTTAATACAAATTATTTCTTATAGAAATACCAATTTAATGGAGTATCCTATATTAATTGGATTTTATCTATTTTTTTGTGATTTCCTTGAATTAATTGACTACTTTTTTTGATGAATTTATATTCAACAATGTGCACTTTACTTTTTTAAAAATTAACTAACTTAATTCTCAACTTTTTTTTTTAGTGGAATAGGTTGAGTTCTTAGATTTTTTATTTTTTTCCCCAATTATTCTGTACTGGGTTGTATGGATTACAATTTTTTCTTTAATTTCGCTTAAATGGTTTCTTTGAATTACTCCTTTTCTTTACTTTTTACTTCATTGTTTTCTTTTACTCAATTCATTTTCCTCTAATTTTACCAAACTGGGTTCCCCTAGTTTCTTATGATTCTCCTATTTCACTGTGCTTGGGTTCTTTGAATTATTCAATTTTCTATGATTTTAGTGAGCTGGGTTCTTTGAATGTTTTATTTTTCTCTGATTTTACTGCCGGGTTCTGTAAATTTCTCAAATTTTCTTGGCTTTTACTAATCTGGGTTTATATATTTCTGTTCTAAAAAGATTTTTTTCCATTAATTAGCTATAAAAAGCCTATTGTTTCCTTGAACTACCTCTAAAAATCAAATTTGCCCCATGAATTAGCTCTAAGAACCATTATCTCTGCCAAGTTTTTTTCCAATTACCTTAGATTGTAAATTTTCCATGAATTAGCTCTGAAATGCCAATTTTTTTCCATAATTATCTCTTAAAACAAAATTTCCATGATTTTCTTTTTGATAGGTTAAAATTTCCATGAAGTAGCTCAAATGAGCAATGTTTTGTCCATGAATCAGCTCCAAAAAGAGCAAGTCATTTGCTCAGTCTTATCCCCTGAATCAGCTCTAAAAAGTGGTTTTCTTTTTCTCCTTTGAATTATGAGTACTAAAATGTGGTTTTGTGAAACCAGTCTTACACAACAAACAGCGCAAAAGTGGTTTTCCTGAACCAGAGGCCTCAGTCCCGCCCCTTCAAAGGCTCGGGTAGCGTCTGCCACACGTGCGACAGAAGCCTCCAGGACCCCTATCACTTCTGCTCTCTTTCCTGCAAGGTAAGAACCCTAACCCTAAAACCGCCGAAATTCAAATGCAATACCACAGCGGTTTCCGGAACCCGGTTTCCAGTTCTGACGGCGGTTTTGCGCGTATTCATCCGCAGGTGTCGTATCTGCTACGATACGAAGGTTGTGTATCAAGGTATTTGTACGAGTGCGAGTACCTTCCTTTATCGGACTTCGTGAAGGAGATGGAGGACGGTCAGATGACACCCATCTCTGTTTTGGACGGTGGAATTTCGCTTCGTACGTCGTCGGGGTCGAGCGCTAACGGCGCCGTCGAATGCAGGACGTTGGCGTGCACGGCCACAACGGAGACCGTCACGAGGAGGAAACGAACGGCTGCGATTTCTTCCAGGAACAGGCAGATTGCGGCGGCAATCAGGGCCACCTGTCAAGTTGTGAGCAGAAGGAAGGGGGTCCCCCATAGGAGTCCATTTTTCTAATTTTTTTAACCTTTTTTTTTAAATTTTTTTTCCTTTTTATTTTTATTTTTTTAGGTATCGGAAATTAGATGTGTAATACTTGCTCTTTATGAGCTAAAAGGCATGGCCTCTCGTGGTTCTATGGCTTGCCAAATTTTGGACCCAAAAGGAGAAAATGGAAAAAAAAAGGAAAAAAAAGAAGAATATTTAGTTTTTTTTGTTCTGATGGTCTGTTTATTTGTAAATAAGTTGCTGTCAATTTTTATGATTGGTTTTTTTTTTTTTGGCTTGATTGGGTGGAATTTTCTTATTTTTTTGTATTTTTTTATGATATATTTTGATTCAATTGCTAAGTTTTTGGACCAATTTTAAGCTGTCTTTGTTGTGATATATCTGTTATTTGTGTTATTTTTAGGCAAATTATTGCACGCCTGCTGTTTATTTATGTAGTATGATTGAAGTGATGTTTCTGTACGTTCTTGTCTGATTTTCTCTCTAAATTTTGAATTTGTTTTGCTTTTTCTATTGACTTGTGTTTTATTTTGGGTTGAATTTTTTTTTTTTTTTTTTTAACTTAGTCCACAATTTATGGTTTCTGCTTTCTCTATTCATCCAAAACACTGACTAGCTAAATTCAAAATCCCAAAAATAATTGCTTTCCATAAAAATTTTCTTCCCTTTATGGCTTGCCTAAAATGGAAGTTCTTGGAATAAGCACTCTATTATCGCCAAATTATACTAAATTTTTCATGGGATTGTATGGTATGAGATCATTTATTTTTGGTACAAGTAGGTCACAATCAATTTAAGCTATTGGATGATAAATTCAATAGATGAAAGTGTCAAAATATTCAAGAAATATTATTTTGGACTTTGTGCATAAACACTAACACATCTGCAATGACTTCATTTTAAATTTAAAGTTCAATAATAATTATGATCTTCATATATCAAAAGTAAATTGTGTATATTTTTATTCTTTATTATTTTAGCCTTACAAATGTACAGTGCAAATAGATGCTTGGAAAATGGGTGAATTTCTAGAGAAAATATGCTTTTCTAAAATTGGAATAGTGAAACTTTGTTGTCCTGTATGGATTTTTATTTCCCATGCGTTATTAATCCGTTTGGAGGAAAATAGAAATAAGTTGTATATCCGACTTAAAAAAACCCCCCCAATTGATTACTAAACCTGGACGATTATGAATTTTCTAAAAAGACAATTTATACGGTGAATTTTAGGACACATTATTTGGATTGTTCATATTAAAGTGTCTAAAAATTTGTTAGATTTGCAAATGTTTGGGCGGAAAATTACATCATTGTTTAAAAATCGCCTATGAATCGTAAAATTCATAATCTTGTGAGTCAGCTCAAGACAGGGGTGACCATTCAGAGTTCCCCAGGAATACCTTCATTTAAAAGAAGTATTTTTTTTCATGAAACCCTTTATTCACCATTGGTTGCCATTTTCTTCGATTATTTTATTTTTAATTTATTATCTATCATGAAAAACTAATTTGATCCTTTTTGTTACTCTATAAGATCTAAATCATTTTTTCCTATTAGATGAATTCAGTATAAAACATTTTTTCATTTGCATTCTGAGCGCTATTTTTGGAGCTGATTTACATGTTTGTTTGAAATATTAATAATTTTTGTAACTTTATTTTTTGTAACTTTTTTTCAATCAAAATTTTATGTTCTTTAGATCTCTTGTGTTTTTTTAACAGTGGCTCGGCCTTCTCACCTAGTCGCCCGGTTCAGCCCTAAACCATTGGTTGTCCGCTTAGATCCGCCAATCCCTTCTTTTAAACATCGAGTCATGATAATTAGGGGCAAAAAATTATTTTTGAGGGATTTTAAGGTGTTGTATCACATATAGCAGCCTTTTAAGACCCAACGATCTGCAATTTAGTATTATGAATTGGTCGTGAAGGAACCAGTTCTGAGATGGTACAAATCCCAATCTGGTTCCCCTTTAAAAACACCCTCTTTTATATTTGAATGTTTTTTTTCTAAGCTTATATAATGTTTCTTTAGGTCCCTGAAATCCCAACCCCATAAATTTTCTTTATTATTTTATTTTTTATTTTCTTAAGAGCATTAACTCTTGATAGATCCATATCCTTCCCAATTGTTGATGCAGTGATCCGACACAATTCTTTGGTTGGATGACACAATTGTTTGGATGGACGATGCGCCCTACCCAACAATATTTTAGAACGCCTTAAACCGGGTTTTAAAGTACTTCTTACTGTATTGTAAGCCCTCGACCTCACCAAACGGCAAAGGAATTTCGATTTGGAATTTAGTGAAAGCCCCACTTGGCCCTACGCCTTTAATGAGAAAAACCTCCTTGGTACTACGATAGGTTTTTGCCCGATGTAGCACGTAAATGTGCTCCCGCAGGAGTACACTTAAACGCTCCACATTAAAGAATATCCGCCAAAATTCAGCATACGCGGTTGCCGAAATATCGGCATTGATAACGGCCAACCCCAAATGCACAATTTTCTCGATTTCTCATTAATAACGGTCGATCGGTCTAGAAATCGTACCGTGGATAAAGTACTCGTAACATTAATATTTTTGCAGTTATGTTCCGAAATTTTAGCCGAAATTTAGTTGATATCGGCTGGCCCATGCCCCCTTACTAATGTTGGCAGGCCGTATCTTTGATTTTAAGCCGTCAGATTTCATGTGACATATTTAGACCGTCCAGCTAAACTACAACCAATGTCAATATGATTTCATGTCTACTGTTTTTGATGTAAATGATTTTTGCCCCCAAAATTTGGCCCTACCATTTCACCCTAATTCAGCAGGCCTAAAACTGGAAAGTCATTCCTAACCTACCAAAAAAATTTAGTCATTATTTAGGTTTAACATGCCTGTGCATTGTGGGCCTCAATTTGATGGTGTATGTCTCATGTTACAAAGGCTATGTTAGGTATGTTAGTGTCTGACACAGATACGACTTTAAAATAAGAGTGCAGTTTGTATAGAGCCTTCTAAACAATCAAATTAGAGCGCATTTCAAATAGTATCGAGAAATATGGTTTTAATATCATAAACCTTTGTGATAGCCTTAAAATATATTTTTATCTTTAGTTATAAAATTTAAGGCTTAAAAAATAGTGTAGATCAAACAGATCAATGAAAACCCGAAAATCTTAAAAATTAACGATCCAAAAATGCGTTACAATATTTACTGTTTCCAAAACTTGAAATCTATTGTTTTCTCATGTCCATGCATATTGATGTCGAGATGATGAATTTGAAGATATTTGAGCATCAAAACAACCTAATATAGTAAAGGTTTTGTGGTAGGCTCTAATTTGATTGTTTATAACCTAGGTTCCATATAAACTTTTCCCTTAAGATAGATACCAGTACCTAAACCCAAAAATTGTGTATTCAATCCCCATATGGTAGTATGCACTGTTTAAATAAGGGGGAAATAGGATCTTCAGATCCAGATGGGTTTAAAAGAAGCGCTACGGTGTTAAGTGTTAGATACAAATATCGTGTTTTTAATACATTAATGTACGAATAAAATTATGGATACATGTGATAATGTTATGAAATGTATCCATTCTTTCTATATATAAAGCTACGCATAATGGTAAGGATATGTTCAAATAGTCAAAGACCTTCGTTGAGAGACTTTAGAGTAGAGGACCTACTGAGAGAGGCCCTAAAGAGTTGAAGCTTAGGGTAACTCGCCTTCTAATTGTAATAGATATTTATCTACTCAAATAGTAAGTATTTTTACATGCAATTTAATTGGAAAATAGGACTCCCCTCTAAACTCATTCCTTTCTTGGGGAAATATTATCTAGTAGAGATTGTATTCTGTAAATGCTTCTTGCTGAAAAAGGGGTTGGGGTCGTAGCGGTAACACCTCTACACTCTAGTCACCACATTATGGTTTTTATTTTCACTACTAACACCACCTCACTAATATTTTCAAAAAATTAACTCTTAATCTACTTGAAAAAACAGGCAGGGGGGGGGCTAGTTATCCCCACTGAATTACCCGAAAAAAAAAAAAAAAAAAAAAAAAAAAGAAGAAAAGAAAGAAAGAAGAAGAAAGAAGAAGAAGAAA